ACCGATTCTCTATGATATGCTATTTTGCTGCTCCTTATTCGTAATTATTTTCGCTTAGTTATTCGGTCAGTAATAAACGTGTGTCCATTAGCGGTAACTGAAAGTTCTTCAGTTCTAGTTATTAAGATCGCAACTTTAATTATTAGCGTTAAAGTAAATAAAAACAAGATAAGCCTGTGTGAATCCTGCTTAAACTGATAGTATTTTATTATATCTTAAAAAAGAAACACGCGGCAGCACACACAAAGGTGACAAGAAGACGCGAATATCAACAGGTAGTAAGCCGATAACACATGGGTGCGGTCTCTGTGAAAGTTTGAAAAGGTCGTTATACCTGCCGGACGTGTAGGCCAGTGTCACACAATATTTCAATCCTATTAAACTAGTAAAATTACTCCAGTACAGAATGTTGGATTACTGCAAGTGCATTAACATAACATGCTATGGGCTAGGGTAGAGATTAGCAATCCATTTTCTAGAGGGTGAACACCTCAAAATCCTATGGGGATAGCGTAGCACCTCAACCACTACGCTATAAATAGGTCTTAAAAGTGGTTTTATGCAATCTGGTTTTTGCGACTAAAATTCTATATGCACTGCTCATCCCCTTCCGTAGGAACTTGTAGATTGAGAGCGTAAATCATGAAGAAATAATTTAGCAGGAGACCTGGGAATGTGTCAGGTCCCGTAAGGGTATTCGTAAAAATTATACTTCGAGATCAAAGTTATCGTTCATAATTTTATACTTGCACCAACCAAGGAAAGCCCTACTTAGTACGAAAGTATGGATTCCTGGAAACAGCCACATTGCGGCAAATACATTCTATCCGTGCGCTTGGCCTTCTCTATGTGGGCACCACTTTCACCATTTTGTTTACAGCAAGGTATATGGGTGCCGGTCCCCAGCTTAAACATGTTCTGTCTGAAGTAAATGCGTTTGTAAACTACGTCAGGTCAGTCAAACAGAAAACCTAGAAAGTAGAAGGTAATTGGATAAACTGTATGTATGAATATGTAACAGTAAACAAATGATGTATTTATGAATATATATTTATGATGTAGAAGTTAACAGGCCGGTCACGGTAGCCGAGCGGTCTCAGGCATGCACTGTCTTCGCTCGCTCGGAGGCTGGGATCGTGGGTTCGAATCTGTTTCCTGTGAGGTGCGAACTGAATTCTTGTATATTATTCTTATACACTGACGCTCACGGTAGCCGAGCGGTCTAAGGCATGTATTGTCTTCGCTCGCTCTGAGGCCGGGATCGTGGGTTCGAATCCCACTCAGGGCATGGGTTTGTATGCGTTTTTCTGTGTTTGTGTACAGGTAGAGGTCTTGTGACGAGCTGATCACCAGCCCAAGGAGTCCTACCGTTATGTCTAACATCTAGTAAAACCGAAGTGAAACGGAGAGTTTCATGGAGGTAGGCCTAGACCCAATGAGGGGTGCGGGAAAAGCAAGTCTCTCTTGTTCTCTCACACTGATGACATCATCCTTCTCCAGTTTCTGGGAGTCAGCACGTTTCTAGGCCGAAACATTCACTTGTTGCTGCTTTCACGTCACAAATCAATTTCACATACTTTTATTTTGAGTTAGAATCAGGTTTCGCCTCTTCATGCACCTAATGTCTTATCTCAACATCAGAATGGACACTAGTCATTTCTAACGGCATACTTTCGAATAAAGAATTTGGCTGGCTTAGCTAAGCTCGAAACTACAGAACCTCAAATCTGCACGTGGGGATACGAAAGCAAACGGTGAGAAACTGGTTCACTGGTTCACTGAAGATTGTGCTACTCACGTGCACGGCACCAATCCTTCCGACGAATTAATTTTTCATCATAAAGTGGTTTCACACTTGTCGTATGGCCTGTTTTCCATCAGAATTAATCTGAGATTCTCAGGCCGCGCCATAGCTCAAGCGGTTAGTCGCTGGCTTCCCACCGTGGCGGCCTGGGTTCGATCCCGGGTCTGGTCAAGTGGGATTTGTGGTGGACAAAGTGGCGCTGGGGCAGGTTTTCTCCGAGTACTTCGGTTTCCCCTGCCAATCTTCATTCCACCAATTGCTCCACAATCACCCTCACCTATCATCTGGGGCTGGTACAATAGGCCAGAAGTGGCCCCAGTACAAGGGACTTAGTCCCACCCCACTAGCAATAAAAAAAGGGAAGTGTGTGCTGTATTGGGTGAAATTAAAATTGCGCAAGTTATTACCAGGCAAAGGTAAATAAAAGTAAAGTGTTTAATTAATTAAGAACCGTGCCATGAAGATATATTGGGAGTGGAGGTATAGCTCCGCTATTCTTGACCTGCACTCGAGATGGAATTGAGTGGTCAGCTTCGCTTCTCGGCTGTTATATTTAGAGGAAAGTGCCCCCGGTACCCACTGGGTATGAGGCTTTATGGGCCCCAGAGCCGGTCTAGACGGTATGGAGAAGAGCAGTTTATTGCCCTTGCCTGGAATCGAACTCCGGTCGCCCAGCCCATAGTCCGACGTTATATCGAGTAAGATACTGGCACGTGGTAAACCCAGCCACAGTAAAAGTCAGTGGCCAAAAGAAGGAGCCAATGGAAACATGGAAACGTGTTAAGCACGTGGCTAGAAAGTAATGAAATACGGTGAAGAACCGAACATTTTTATCGCATTAGAACAGATCAGATAGCGAGATTGTGAAATGAAGTCGGTAAGAGGCAATGTTTGTAATGCCTGCTAAAGGAGGTATCATAAATGCCTACATTTCCCCTGATCCTCCATCACAAATATTAACGACGAAGAACTTCGGAAAGCAGTAGACGGTTTCAGGATCAGCCGTAAAGAAGGCCAATCCGAAAAAGTAGAAAACTCCATTGGAGTAAATAGAAATGATTTAGGAGTGTGCGGGGCCCTAGGTAAATTTTCAACTCTGGGCCCCAGTGTACTGAAAAATGTGTTGAGGTCTGTTAGAGGCTTTATTATTTTTTAAAACCCAATTAAGACAGGGAGTGCCAAACATGTTGATTTTGTTGCATCTGAGATTGTTAGACACACTCCACCTGCTCAAGCTAGACAAGTTGCGAACACACTCCTTACGAGGCCCTAGGCTATGGCCTACTTCGCCTATGCTTTAACCCGCCTTTGGACGTAAGCATTTCTTGTAGTTAGGATGTCCGCTACGTTCATAATGTCGATTCAGACTGCTCTGAGGAACAGGAGGATGAAAAAGTGCTTTATAAACGAGAGTGAATGTAAAACATATGAGGCAAGACGAACTCGAAGCGAATGCTGTGCTTAAAAGTAAGAAATTTGATAGTGGAAATCGAAGGAATACTGAAAGTAGCCTTGAAGTTTAAGGCCCTCTCTCCCCAAAGAATAAAGTAGGGGCTGAGGAAAATGCTTCCTATCGGAAAAGTCGGAGAATCTGTTACAGTTCGTTTTTCAGTTGTGGGTCGCGATGATGCCCGCAGTGTCTAGGTGAGCAATATCATAACCTCGGCACAAGAACAGGAAATCTGGCACAACTTTCCACCCGAAACCTGTTCAGCGTTTGTGCTCAGAGGATGTTGGAAGCTGAGGAGTTACCTGCAAGGGAGATACATTTGCGAAAGTCTGCAACTAAGATGTCCCTAAGTAGAGGTTAAGGCTACCAAAAGATGGGAGTAGAAGTTATATTATCCTATAGTTATAGTATACTATAGAAGTAAAGTATTCCTGTAACAGGCTGTGGAGGCCCATAGGGTTGTAAGACGTTGAGGTTCCCACATTCTCTATACAATCGGCTCATAGATGGCGGCAAGGTTGTGAGCCCTACGCGCCGGCCGCCCTTTACCCCCAAGAATATGCCTGTTACTCATTTCTGTTAGAGGCTGAGTCGACCCCAGAGCCATAGTGCAGCTGGAAGGATTAGGTCAATTGAAAACAATCCAGTGACCTCATCAGGACTTGAACCCGCGACCTTCCGGCTTGTAGAATAGTGCCTCAACCAACTACGCTACCGCGTGACCCCAAAATATGGGAGTATAAAAGTATAAGTTTAAAAACAAAAATAAATATAAAACAATGGAGCACTTTGTAATTCTAAGTGTTATGGGAGCCTACCGGGTTTCAGTCAGCATTTATTTCTTCTCATTAAAAAAGAACTACAACTTTAATTACTGTCTTCTTTTGAGTCTCATTAAGCTGATATTTTTTCTCCTGTGTATATTGTTGTTTTGTCTTTGTATTCTCCGAATGAGAAACATCTTCTTCTGAGAAACTTCTAATTTTTTCTTCTCTTGAGGGTAAATAATAAACATTTCTTTTCATGTATGGGTCTCGAAATAAGTGTCTAAATCATTATTTTAATTGTGCATTTTAACATTTAAAAATGTATTTTGCTAGGATAGAAAATAATAAATATTGTAAGGGATTTGATCTACGCGTTGCCAGGCAACAGCTCTGTAAACACGGTCCAACACGCGACAATAGATGAGGCTGTTTTTTCTGTGTCGTCCGCGCCGAGCAGCGGTGGAACAAGGGGGTTATGCAATCCTTTTGTACGCAACGGCTCGTTAAACACACTTCCGCAGAACCATTGGATAGGAGGTTGGGTGGACCCCAGAGATCTAGTCTAAATGCTGATCGCGTTGTGGAACAATTCGCAAAAGGAAGTAAGCAATTAATAGCAGTTTCTGTAGAATATATGGACCTATAATATAGCCTCGTGATGGCTTTAAGATTCCAGCACATAGCTCGAAATTATAATATATGGTCAGGAACGTACAAGACGGCAAACGTGCTCGCCTGCACGCGCGCGCGCAGGCGCATACATTCATAAGTACGTACATAGATTACATTAGGACTACTGGGTTTGTGTATGTCATAACAGATTTGCATCTGCGTGTGAGTGCATTGTCACCAAAACATGGCCTAGGCCTGCCTAAAGTTTCCTGATGAAAGAAACGGCCTCCAGACACAGAGAGTAGCAGCGAATATATATCCAAAATCAAATAACTGTATCTCAGAAAGCATTTTTATACACATTTAGGGGTTACACAATTACAAAGGGAAAATACTATTTTTTTTTCTGAGTGTATAATTCTCTCAGTAAATTTCAGTGTGCGCTCTCTTGTGACACGACGAATATTCAGACGATATTCGACCTCTTTCCACGTTCCTTGAATCGTGTTTGCTGTTGCCGTAGCCACAGATTTCCTTATGTGGGTTTTCAGATGTTGAAGATCGTAGATCTTAACCTGGGAAAAAATGGTCTTCACATAATTCCAGAAGAAATAATTCAATGAGGTTAAATCTGGCGAACTAGGAGGCCAAGCGATTGGTCCACCTGCCGATCCATCTCCCGGCCATCTCTCTGTTCAGGTGATTCCCAAAATGGTGGCAGAAATGTGGCGGCGTCCATCTTGTTGGAGGATAGTTTGAGGTGGCAATTGGGGCAGTCCGTACAGCTACAGCATGTCCAAGTACGAGCGTTCGGTCACAGTCTTTTCTGAAAAGATAAATTTTCCAATCAACTTCTCTTGGCTTCTCAAGGAGGACTCAATTCCATACAGTTAATCAGTTGATGCATTTTTATTAGTGAAATATAAGCAACAGTCAGCGACTTACCGAAATCTACAATAGTTTTGGGCCCTCTTTTGATGATGGCAAGTAACGAACTGCTGGAAGCATAGTCTTAGAGATTATATCGAACAAGTTTAACGTAGTAGGAATCTGTAATGTTATCGACCTAAATTATATACAGAAATGAGATAATATACTTTAATATCGTTAAATTATATACTTTTCTATATTCATGTTATCAGGTTGTTCAACTGAAACCTTTTCGAGGATTGTATTGGGCGAAGCAGTAGAGGCCCTTGAAATTATCTGCATGGGCGCTGAGGCAGACAGCCTGTCGATCCACTCCTTCGGCTACTGTACCTCTCCGGCGTTAATATTTTCGCGAAAGTGTCTCATTTTAATCACCTTAAGACATTAAATTAAATAATTTGAAGGAAAGTAGACTCTATAAACTGTTCATGGAAGCTCCTGTTGCAGTGGCAACTAGAGTAACACTTCTAGGTTATGGTACCGCGTAGTTTTGTATGTGGGTATCTGCTTTTCGGAGTAACACAACGTCTGCATCTTAAGCGTGGAAGATGGAGTCTATTCCACGTAGCCGTTGCTACCTAGCATTCAGACTGCACGCACTCACAACCGAGAAGACCACAGCATGACCCTTCACCGCCGACAGGAACTCAATAAACACTGATCTGGCAGCAAACAACGTCTAATGTAAGTGCCTTAAGCACTCTGTTAACCCTTCAAGACACAGAAGAAATGGAAATCTTCTAGTCTCTTACATTTTGCGTAGGGGTTTAAATAGATTTTTTTTTCGTGAGATTTTCCTATCTGCTGATCTTATAATCAAAGTCGTTTGCAAACATTGATACTCCGTAGCCAGCGCCTGACAGTCGGCATGCCTGGACGCAATCCAAAATGTGTCCGAACTTGACAGGAAATACAGGCTGCAACTTGGCAAAGTAGCCTACTGCTTCAGCCTCCGGCTGGAGAGCACGTCAAGGAAATGTCTCTACAGCTTTACTCCTCCTCACAATGTTTCGTCCCTTCGTTCCAGCATTTCTTCTTCTTCTTCTCCACTTCCACCTTCTACTTACAGGCCTACTTACCCCCTGTACTCTCTTTATACTTTTATTTATAATTATTTTTATTTATGTTCTTTATTTTTATTCTTTTTCTCTTCACCGCTATCTCCATATTTTGGGGGGCCTCTCTCGGTTTAAGACCGCTTCTGTGATCTAGTGGTCAGAGTTCCTGGCTACTGATCCAAAGGTCCGGGTTCGATTCTCTGCGCTACCAGATTTTCTGACAAGTAGTTGATATGGAACTGCGTCCACTCAGCCTCGTGAGGATAATTGAGGAGCTATTTCAAGGAAATAGCGGCTCCGGTCTAGAAAACGGAAAGTAACGGCCGTGGGGATCAGTTGCGCTGACCACGTGACACCCTCTATCCGCTAAAGTTGGCACTAACTTCGTCGACAAGTGGCGGTCGCTCTGTCGGTATAGTTCGCTTGCGGACTACAGGCCACGGAGTTTGGGTTTTTGTTTCTCCATCGGTTTAGTATAGGGCTATTTAATTAAAACATATTTCAGTGGAAAGTAGCTAACATGCTTACGAATCAACGTACAAATGAATTTTCTGTTCAAACTACGAACTCCACATTGGGAGAACACATCAGCTATCTATGGGTGTAAACATAGGCCATGACTCAGGAGAGAAGCGTTGTACAGTATTATCACTGAAGTTAACCATTGAAGTAGTTAGATTAATCAACATTTGTTTGAAAGAAAAGTACGATAAGTTTCTTATGGATGAGCATTTGTCTGACTCATTTCCTACTCAGAATGACCTGAAACACGGAGGTGTTCTGTGCCCATTGAGCCTTAACTTTGTTTCAGAATGAGCCCCGAGGAAGGTTTAAGGCATGCAAAATGCACTGAAATTCAATGTTACTTTGCTAAGCGAAAACAGAACCACCCTGAAGCAGACGGTAGTGAGGTCTAGAGTAAGCACAGAGCAAAAGAAGTACCTGTTCGTGTTCAGTCTTCGGATTGGAGAACAAGTTCGATAACAGATTCTTCAAGAATGAGACAAAGTGTAAATATTTGGAAAGGAAGACAACAAATAAAAACGATTCGTCAAAGCAGCTTACATTAGGGAACTTGCTACCATTCAGTTCAAAATCTTTTGTCTTCCCTTTGCCATTTAAAAGCGAAATCATTAAAAAAGGTAAAGCTGTCCTTGTAACAGGCCGCGAAGGCCCATAGGGTTGTGAGACGTCGAGGCTTCCTTCCACATTCTCTCTAGACAGTTGGCTCACAGATAGCGGTAAAGTTGTCAGCCTTACACTCCGGCCTCCCTTTACGCCTCAGGAAGATTAATTAGAATAAAGAAATTGTTTCTTTTTCTGTAGTATATTATTGGTGTTGAAATTATCGCCCCACAGTAAGGGAGAACATGGATTAATAACAGAAACAGGCGCAAACTCAGATCTCGAGATTGCAGGAACCACAGCGAACGACGCCGTCGAGAATTTGGTCCTATTGTTTCATGTTCAGGGGGAGGTGGGTTCAAGTATCGTTTCGGAGACCGACTGTCAGGAATGAGATTTCATGCGATTTTTCTCACTCCCTGCAGAAAATAATGAGATATCGTCCTAAAGCAGCATAGAGGAACCCGAGCCCAACTAGTGAGAACATACGTACGTAGGGGCACAAACACGGACGCAGAACGGAGAGAGAGTTTCTTTTCTCAAAAAACGAATTTTAGTGTGAACAACGATAATGCAATAGCATGGAAATATATTGACTTAAGATGCAGTGCACTGGGACGGTGTCAAAAAGAGAAAAATTTCCTGAAGATGGACAAGTAAGGCCGAATCTTGTAGCAGTTGACGTGATTTTAAAGTTATTTTAAATTAAAGATAGATTTTAAACAGTTTCAAGTTGCATTAAAGATGGAGGTGAAGGAGTGTGTGCTGTATCAATGCAGCATGATGCTCAAATATAATATCGGGTGCTCGGATGAAAGGTATCCAAAATAACAAAATTATATCTCGGAAACTAATTGTCATATATATATCCGGTTTATGTCATCGGAAAGGAAAACCCTGTAAGTTTTCTTTTCATGCCCGGCTTACGCGCATGCGCCGCCACATTTCTGCCACCATGTTAGGAATCACTTGGACAGAGAGATGGCTGGGAGATAGATCGGCCGAAGTGGATCAATCTCTTGGCCTCCTAGGTCGCCAGATTTAACCCCACTGGATTTTCTCTTGTGGGGTTATGTGAAGAACACTGTCTACCAGGTTAAGACCAACACCTGCAACACCTGAAAGCTCGCATGAGGGACGCTGTGGCTATGGTAACACCAAACATGTTTCAAGCCTGGATATTTGTCGTGCCACCAAGGGAGCCCACATTTAAATTTACGGAGAAAGTTATTCATTCATTCATCTGTAATCTGTCAAGACGACAGGTCCACAGTCTCTTCCAAAACAGTTCCTCCACTTAATGCGATCTAGAGCTTTCTCCTTCAAATGAGAATATCCTCTTCTGTCCCCAAGGTCATTCAGCATCTTCTTACGTCTTCTTCCTCGTCTTCTGGTCACTTCTATTCGCCCCTCTATCTTTCCTTCAGTAACTTATTTTAGAAGGCAGTTACCGCGTAAGCTATGACCAATCCAATTAGCCTTCCGTTTTCTTATTTCGTGTAGGATAGTCCTTTGCTCAGTGACTCTAAATAACACTTCTTCATTTCTCACATAATCGGTCCAACTGATCTTCTCCATCCTTCTCCAACACCACATTTCGAAGCTTTCCAGGTGTTTCTGATCTACTGCCCTAAGTGTCCATGTTTCAGCCCCATACAGAGCTATGCTCCAAATGTAGCATTTCACTAGTTTCTTCCTCAAATTTAAGTCCAATTTGCTGGTAAAAAGATTATTCTTCTTCTTGCTAAATGTAGCTTTTGCCATGGCAATCCTGGATTTAATTTCACAAGTACACCTTCCATCATCTGTTAACAAGCTACCCAAATATTTAAAACATTTCACATTCTCCAGTTGTTTTTGGTCTATCTTGATTGTGACTGGGGTTGGTTGTCTCGAAATTTTCATTACTTTTGTTTTTTCCAAATTCATTTCCATGCCATAGCACCTTCCAATTTCGATTAGTCTTTCAATCATACCCTGTAGCACAGTTATATATTCAGAAAAAAAAGATATTTTCTCGTAGTGGTGTAACTAGTAAACGTGCATAATAAAAGCTTTCTGAGTTATAATTATTTTATTTTAGATACCTTTCATCCGGACACTCGATACTTTCCAATTTACCATGCATATTCTTGTCCTAGCAGTCTGCATTACGCATCCTAAGCAGGTGTAGGCTGTCATGACCGTGACTTCTGGGATATGACACCGTGCAGTCTGGTAGAGCTATCTCGCTCGGCTTACTCTTCTTATGAATACGAAGATAACATGTTCCGCATAAACGCCGGCAAATTTCTACTCGAGTCCACGGGTCACAACCTAGCCGATGTCTGCTACTGGACAGAATTTCACAAAATACATTTCATTTAAACATGTTGAGTGGTATGGAGACAGAGTACACTCTCATTTGTGTGAAGAGCGTTGGGATAAAACTGCGTGTAATATATCGTTCAATTCTTTTGGGTAACACGAACCCACAGTCGCCCTTTCAGCCGTTCCAGTTCAGAACCTGCTGTTCAATTTCCTTACAGAAATTAATAATAGTTCCAGCGAAAGCTATTTGTGTGACATAGTAAACATGTCTAGAGCATCAAGTCTTGGGAGCCAATTCATTACACTTGTCAAAGGGCACTGAATAAATATAAACTTACTTGGGTTAAATTTAGACCGGCTCTATATCCAAATCAAAACAAGTTACGAGTATGAGCCCGCTTCT